GAATAGTTTTCTTACAGTCTCCCTTGCCCCTCCTCAGGATTCCTGGGAAGACTACTCTGCAAGTGTGTGAGGTTTTTGTGAATGAGTGTCCTTTTGGCTGGTTTAAGGCTTCATTCATATTTGTTCCATGGTAAGTTCAGAAACTCAGTGGTGTATAATATTGTCATCCCAATCATTGAGTTCTATTTTCACTCTGGTGTTTTGATTGAGCTGTGATTAGAAGTGATGGGACTCAAGTTATGCTAACTGAAAAATGGTCTCAGAGTGTTTTCACTATTCTGACACAGTATGGCAAATGGGGAGTCATTTGTAGAATCATTTTATTTTCTCATTATCCAGTGAGCACAGTATTGTGTTAGAAATCCAGGTGCTTTCTGAAGAATCTTTTTCTTGCACAGGTTACACTCATAAGCCAGACCTGCGCACTTTTGAAGCAGAACAGAGAAGCCTAGAAGGTGGAGAGAATGGACACAGAAGCAAATGTACCAGGTATTTTGGAGGGACTGAATTAGATGTGGTTAGTGATTCAAGTGATGTTGAAAATGGAATGGGGGGCATGCGTTTAGATGGCTCAGCCGCTAATAGCCCTTGCTGCCCTGAAGAATGAATGGGTTCATGTCTAGCCACCCACATGGTGGCTAGACAGTCATCAGTAATAACTTTGGTTCTAGAGGTCTGATGCCTTTTCTGACCTCAGTGGGTGCCAGACACAAACACACAGCACATACATACGTGCTGTAGAACACTGATACCCATCAGCTTAAATAAAAACTCCAAAGAGAAAATTTAGGAAACAAAGAAAGTGCAAATGAGACATGAGATTGGTTTTGCCACGTTGTTTCTCTAGAAATGTTGTTTTGGAATACCTTACTATAAATAACCTCAAGATTATTATCCTATTTTACATGTCACTGGCTTTATATGTAAGAACTAGGAGAAAACATAATTTATACGACTGTGCATGTCAACGCTGGAGTCCCTGTTTGAATCATTTCTCTTTTCTCTCATTTCAATATTAAATGATTGTCCCTACTATAATTTATGATCTTGTAAAATTAGGGAAATCGTGCCTTAGGTTTGTTTCCAGAGCTCTCTCCTTTGACATTTTTGGTAGTTTCTTTAGATTCTATTCCTTTAATGGTCACTTTTCCCATTTCCTAAAGTGATGCTGTCAGGACTTTGATAGGAATTGCTTAGTATCTCTGCAGAGTTTTAGATCTGTCCTAATTGTCCTCCCATTGATATTGCCTGTTGTCTTTCTTCACGCCAATACTCAATGGTTTTCATTTCTGTAATTTTAATAGATTTTGAAATCTTGGTTTGATCTTCTGAAGCTTTTTGATCTCTGTGCTGCCTCAAATTTCATATTCAGTTACCATTACTTTATTTATTTTGCAGAAATAACCCATTCCTGTTGAAATGAATTGATTAGAATCTTTACATAAGAGAAACCTCCTTGTTGATTTGTGTTCTCATGTTTGAATGAGAACATGAAAGCCGTGTGTCAGTATTCACATGTCATTTGTATTTGAATCCTTCTGTTCTCCATCTGCTGTTTCTATTCACATGCATGTTAGTCAGTGAGTAATCATTTTTGCAAGAACGGACTATAATTAATCATTTCATATGAAACCTAATGTGTAATATAGTTGAATCTTATGTGAATAGTTTGCTTATCTGGTTGTTGAAGAAACTTCTCACTTACCTACATGGCAGCTGCAGTAAGTTGGATTCTCACTGATACTGTGTTTCTGAATTCGTTCTGTTGCATTTTCTGCAGGATTCATTTTGTTGAAACCTTGAAAGTGGTCACTGACTAGGCAGAGAGGGGATCTTGGTGAACACTGGGTGAGCATTTCTTTCATGACTAATAGTGTGGAGCATTTTTAATGTGTGCTAATTGGCCATTGTAACTACCTTTTAGCATGAGCTGTTAAAGTTGTTTGCTTGGTAATTGAAATGATTTTTATTTGTTTGTGTTTTTTTTTTCTTTATTTTATGAGACATTCTGAGTATTAACTTGTCATACTACAAATAGCTAGCTAATATATTTAACTGTTCAATAGGCTGTTTCTTGCTACTTAATTTTTAAGATTTCCATGCATGCTCTTTATAGCATGTGTCCTTTTTGTCAGTTTCACTGTTAGAGCTTATACATGAAAGTTTGTAATTCATTGTACAGTGGGAGAGAACCAACCCAGTTTCATATTTTCTGTCTGCGTACATGCTTTCCCATCACTTGCTTATCATGAAACTTGCATGTCTTATTTTGGTGATATTCACATGGTCACTGCTGTTGTGCTGTTTCTGGATCTGCTGCTCTGTTGCATAGGGTTGTATATCTACTCTTCTGACACTCCCATGTTGTGCTGGTCATGTGACTCTGCAGTGTGATCTGGAATAACAGGTGGAATAACTCAATGCCTGGCTTGTTCTGTACTCTCACATTCTTTGTGTTTCCCTGTACATTTATTCTTCTATTTTTGTGAGTACGATTTAATGTATTGTGTGTGTCACAGCTAATCACCTTATTCCCTCTCTTCTGTTGAGTTCCCTGGGATTTGTACCAGGTCATATGGATTTCCTCTTCATGGCCGTCAGCAGTCATGCATTCTCTGTATGTGACCAGTTAGGAGTCTCTGAAATAACTGTTACCCATTGCACATAAAAGCTGTCTGACCCAGGCTGACAGCTGGACCACGCTCTTGTGTGACCAGAACTAGGTAAAAGCAGTTTTTTGAGTATTTCTACATGTAGCAAAATGTCCTGAGTGTATTCCCTCCTATGGCCTGTCACTCTCCTGGTCATAGGCTCTTGGCCACATTTCCAGTACATTGTTTCCTTCTCTGGAACTGGCCAGAAATTTAAACAGAAAGCATTTCTTTTTTTTTTTTTTTTTTAACTTATTTATTATGTACACAGAAGAGGGTACCAGATCTCATTACAGATGGTTGGGAGCCACCATGTGGATTCTGGGAATTGAACTCAGGACCTCTGGAAGAATAGTCGGTGCTCTTAACCTCTGAGCCATCTCGCCAGCCCTAACAGAAAGCATTTCATTACACAGAAAATTGTCTTCACACTATGACACCGTTTTAGGAAACCAGAGGAAAAAAACCATCAAACTGTGATACAGGAGACAGCTCTACTGTGCAGTGCTGACACACACAGTTGGTAGATGTCTATAATCTGAATCCAAGTTCAGTGAAACACAGAGTTTTATAGCCTTCTCTCCCCCTGTGTGTTTCCAAACCTTCTCATATCCCACCAACCCAGAGAGACATAGATTCTGACTGGCTGTCTTAAGGTAGTTTAATAGAGTTTGCTGAATAATCTCATCCGCAGAAAATTTTCCTAAAGAGCAAAATATACCAGAAGTCATTTATAGCTCTGAGGTTCAAGGAGAGACATTGGTTACAGACTCGACCTAGTAGGACAACACAAGGGTACTGAGCAGACAGTTGCTGATCTGTCCTGGTAGCTCTGAACTGCTGTGCTACATCAGTGGATTAACCAAAGTCTCTCAAAGGGTGGTGGTGTGGCACAGGTGGCCCATATCTAGGTAAGGCCATTGATGACCTTTCTTGCCCACTATTTGGCACTTAGAATGCTGCCATTAGGGAATCTAAGATATTTCCTAGACACTATACTGGTCTTAGTGGTCTGCTATTTTCTCTTCCTCATCTTGTTGATATGTAAAACACCAAATGATATAGATCATGGGTGTTATGGCTCATTTCAAAGATTATCAGAGCTGAGCTTTTTCGTGGGATATTTTTGATTTCTGAAGTTGAGAATTGTATTTCTTACAATTTGGAGTAAGTTGCTACCTGACCTCTGTTAACTCCTTTAATTTGAATATTTTCTCTTTCCTTTTTGTTCTGGGTGCAATTGGTGCACTGTGCTGAGTTAGTGTGGACAGAATGGACACCTTGTCTGTGTCTTGAGGAGATTGGAATTTTTCCAGTTTTCCTCATTTAACAAAATGTTGGGTTTAGGTTTGTGGTTCTAGTTTTTATAATGCTGAGGCATGTTTCTCCTATTCCCAGAGTCTTCAAATCTTTGATAACAAGCAAATGTGAAAATTTCCCACAGGTGTTTGATTGATATATTGACATGATCATGTTCCTTCTATTACAATCTATATATTTGCTGTCTTACATTGATAGATCTATACATGTTGGAACAGTCTTGTATCCCTCAGTGTGGGAGGGTAATATTGGTGGTTTCTGAAACCTTCGAAGGGATGTCTACTGTTTGCAGAAGTTTGCATTCCCAACAGGAATTAGAATAAGGATCCACTTTGCCAATAACTCAAATGCATTTCTGGGCATTTGATTATATTTGTTGTTTATTATTTTGAGGGGGGGGCATACTCATTATATAACTGTTGTGAAAATAGGTATGTATACGAGGCTAGCAGCAAATTACAGAGTTACTCTGTGGTTCCACCTAAGAGCCT